TTTAAAAGTGCACATCATGTTCAATAAATGATTTATACGTTGTAAAATTGTGAAATTACTATAATTTTCTGGGGTTTTATAATTATGAGTTTTGAATTCATGTGGAAGGGCAAGACCTTTGTGCCATTATATATTTTCACTTAATGGTGCAACCACCAGATACGATGAGTTTACTGCAGAAAACTATAGATCCAATCGGGTTTGTAGACTCTAGGATTCGTATTTGAGTGCTTAACAGTAATATTTATAATATGACTGCTAACCACTGTGGCCCTTTTGATGTATGTATCTTCTCTTCCTTGCATTTGGCAGTCATCAACCCGAAGGATGTGAGCATTCTTGGTTGGTGAATTATTAAAATCTTTGAATTATTATTTGTTTCTAAAGTTGTGACCCTTCAAAATTCAAGATTAGGGATTTCATTTTCTTTAATTTTTTTTTAAACGTTACTCCCAACGGTCGTCGAAAAGATTTTCATAACTGTGTGAATGAATGAGCAAACTGATGAATGAAATGGTGAATTTGAATGACTGAGAAAGGTTTAGGTTCTGGTGATTATTGGATTGCTTGGAGTATTGCAATTTTATTTTACAATAGCAGGTAGAAAAGGTTGGGTTTCCCGGTGAGTCTCCGATCGATTTCAAGTGGCTAATTTTGTGAATTTATTGAATCAATTCATTTGTTATTTAGCTTTCTTGCGTTTGGGTATGGGTTTGGTTTTAGGAGAGGGTGGCACCTGATCTGTAGGTTGAATCAGCCTCACTGTTTCCGCTAGAATCGCAGTGAAAGGTCGGTATTTCTAACATTTTTTTTTTTGTTTTTGCTGCATGTTTGCTCTCTGCGATTTTGTTTTTAATCGCTTTTTGTCTATAATTTTATTTTTCCTTTGGGTGCATGTTGATGCAGTGCAGGCTTATTCTTGGTGAGTTGTGTTTTATTATTCAATCTTTGCGGTTATTTTTAGTAAAATGAAATGTTGACATTGATAAAACATGACATATTGCATACTTAGTTAATATCCACCATGCATCTCACAGAACTAAGAATGCAGGGCCAGAACCACCGCACACTTAAATAGGTGATATTTCCTATTTTCATGTTTTTTTTTTTTTTTTGAATTTTTTTTTGAATTTATTTAGTGAATATAAAAGATTATATTTACATTGAAATATGTAAATTACAAACTGTAAATTTAATTATCTAAACCACATTTGCAAATGACAATCAAGGTCAAGCTTTAGGTAATAACAGTGAATGTATTTTGGTGGAGGTTTTGGATTCATTTTTTGGTTTTGTCAAATAAATTTGTTGTGCTGTGTGGTGTGGTGTCAAATCGTCTTAGAATGTTGACGCCTCGGATAACTGATAAAGGATAAGGTGTTATTTGATGGGTTTAGGCACAAGAAGCATCCTGTTCTTCTAATAATTTGTTTGGTGGCATGATTGCTTGATTTCAAGCCTTGAATTTTGTAAACTTTCATTGTTAAAAGTGTGAGTTCATGATTACATGGGCTCATTTTCTTGAAGAATTTAAATTGTGTAACAATATCTCATGATTATGTGAATGTTCTGAAGCATGTGCTATGGCTTTCATGACATTTTTTAATTTTTTTTTTTTCATTCTAATTATGGAATAGTAAACGAGTTATTATTTTCTTTGATTTCAGATTGTAGAAATCATATCTCGATTTGAATGGTTAGTGACCTATTATAAGAGTTCATGACCTGAAACATTGTTGTTAGCAGTTTCTTTAATCATATCCGTTTTAATAGTGTTTCATTGCTCAGAAAATTTAAGAATTTACAATATCATGGGCTAGGGGCTTTAAGAAATATCCAAGTTCTGTAATTTAGCACCTTTGTTCTTATTAGGATTCTCCAACTTTCATTTGGATCAAATTTTTTGGGTCTGCATGCTGTAATTGAGGTTAAAATTCAAAACTTTTATAAATCTTTGATTGATTGACCAAGTTTTACTGTATAGATGATGCAAGAATCAGTCGCCAAGGGTTCGAGAGAAGGGTGGTTTCAACAGAAGTTGAAGCTCTGGCTCTAAGTTTTAAGTTCCATAAATCTTTGATTGTGCAAGTATATGTTAATTTCTATTTTATGTCGATGATCAAAATGTGTTACTTTGTATTAGGTATAGTGATATTCCTCTTTACATGTAAGTGAGAGGTTTTAGGTTCGATTCTCACAAAAGGCGAATTTGAACTACATTGTTACTAGTTCATTATGAGGCCAAACCCATCCCCTTCCCTTAGTGTAAGTAATATAGATTGTTTAAAAAATAATCAAAATGTGATCATAATTTATATATATAGAAAAACTGAAAGTTTTAGCTCCAGGGATTGAACAAGTATGTTATTTTTGAAATTTATTCTGTCATGTATTTTTTTTTTTTTTTTTTTTTTTGGTAGGAGAAGAAAGAAATTACGATTAAAAAGGTCATGTGTAATATGCGGAAATGTGTCACCACTATTAAAGGGCTGGAGCTTTTTGGTGAGCTATCTGTTGTGTTACATCCTACGTCTTTCTATTTGGAGATTCTTATTTTGTTCCTACCATAATAGGTATAAGCTATGTAAGATATTCTACATGTTTAAGACATTTTTTTTCCTTATTGAACATGAGAATGTAAATAGATTTTCATATATTCCACGGGTTTAACACATATTTAAAACCCGCAGCATCGAGTGGTCTGAATTGCTTGTTATCTTTTCTAAAGTAGAAGAGGAATTGGCTGTTGCTTAGCTACAGTCAACGAATTGTCATCCAATTTCACCTTATTTGCAACAATGTCATCCGAAAGGGGCCGGGTTTGGGCTGCCCATCATGCCTTCTGTGGGCTTTCTCATCAATTAGTTTAAGCCCGGTCCTTTGGGAGTCAAAATGACGAGACTGACCATCTGGGTTCAGATCACACGGTAAGGATGACAAGTTAGGGGGGTAGGGTAGTCATTTTGTCCTTAGGGTTTTGGAGCGATTTGGGTTCGGTTGTTTCATCATTTGTTTCTTTCTTGGGTAAACTGCAGTTTAAATCATTGAACTATTTTTTTGGTAAATTAACTTCCTAAATTATTTAAATTAGCCAATTAACCCCTTGCAGTTATATCTGTCCATTATTTCGTCAAATTCAAGGGTAAATTAGTCATTTTATCATCAATTCTTCCTTGTCAACAGCAACCACAAATAAAAGTGAGCTATTAGACTCACCCCATTATCTTATTTTCTCACCCACGTTATAATCTCACCCACCTTAAAAGGTTAAAAAATTAAAATGCTATTTTCTCACCCACTATTATTCCCAAAATAACCTTTAATATATACGTACATATGAAATTATAAAATTGTCTTTTAAAAAATATAACAAATAATATGTAAATGAAAACCACTAAGGTCTACAAATTCAAATGGAAACAACAGAGGTATCCAAATTCAAAAGAATTCGACAACGACAAATTTAAAAATACGATGGATAAATTCACATAACCTGCACACAAATTATTCTTCTACCTTTTCAATGGAAACATAATCTTCTACCTCTTCTGTAGAAGCGTCATCTTCTACATGTTCAATTAAAAAGTCATCTTCTAAGTCCATTGCTATTTTTTTTACTTTCTCTGAATGAAAGGAGATGAAAATATGAGTTAGGGTTTAAGGTAGATAAATTGCCTCCCATGCCCAACCTGTTTTTCTTTTGAATTAAACAAAACAAGATAATTAATGTCTTTATCAGTCTTTTTGTAAATGGACAAATTGGTAAGTAAAAAAATTCATTAAAAGATGGGTAGAAAGATAAGACATTGGGGTGGGAATAACATCACTCAAATAAAATTATGGCACATGGACACAAAATAATGTGTAAAACATATAGGATAATAAGAAACCATAAAAAACCAAATGTTACATAACGGACCATTTCACATTATCATTACACGTTATTTTGTGTCCATATGTCATAATTTTATTGATGGTTATAGCTGACAAATCAAAATTAACAATGGAAAGACTAATTTGCCCTTGAATTTGACAAAATAGTGGATGGAATCTACCGACAAGAGATTAATAGGATGATTTCAAATAGTTCAGATGGTTAATTTATCAAAAAAATAGTTCAGAGATTAATTTCAACTAGGGTAATAGTTCAAGCAGTCAAATGACAGTTTACCCTTCTGTCTTTGCCGCAGGCAATGTGGGTGAGACCCATGTTGTCATAGAGAGAGAGAGAGAGAGAGAGAGAGAGAGAGAGAGAGGGGTTGTAGAGGAAGGGGAGAGAGGGAGAGAGGGAGAGAGGGAGAGAGCGCAATTTTGGTTCAATCTATTGCGAGTAGTCTTTTCAACTTACCCGTTGTGTGGCTGCCTCTTGAGATAGTTGAAACAATATCGTAGATATCTAGTAACATTTAACAAATAATAAATGAGAGTCATTTGATAGCCATTCATTTTGCTTTTAGTATTTACTAGCAAGGGTGCCCGCGCGTTGCTGCGGGAATGAAAATTGTATAACACATAGAATTTCTAAAAAAATTATATACGTGTATACAGTAGACAATACTATTTACATACATGTGCAAATTTATTTACAACTCTATCAACAATAAGGAACAAAATTGGTGTCCATGGGCGAAATGAAGTTTATGGTTGTAAATTGTCAAATTCCATACATGTCAAACTTCATTTAGGAAACTGCAACCATAAAGAATAAAGTGTTTAACACGCAAAACAGTTCACAATATGAAACCGTTGCTTCACTAAATAATCAGTACCAACAAAATCATGCTTGTTTTGCTGCAAAGAATAAAGTAGAAAAAGGGAAACAAAATATTTATTTGTTGTTTTATTTTATGTGGAAAAAACTTGGAAGGAGAAGCGATAGTGAAAAGATCATATTTATTTCCAATTTTTTGACAGAGAAAAATAGTACAGAAACTAACAATGAAGGCACATTCTGAGAAAGTATTGATGAAAACACACAGTACACATACCTGCTTAAACCTTTCCTCCTTTTGCTCAACCTGTCTTTGGAGTAGATTAGACAAAGGGACAAATTGTGTTGCGCAATTTAGAACCTGATATAACAAAAGCATAACAAAAAAAAAAAAAATCCAGAACCTGAAGTGCCTTTTGAAAGGTTGGTCCTACTTTGAAAATCTACAAAGGGAAAAATTGTAAACCCAAATTAAAGCTTCTTCTCTTACTCTAAAGAAAAATGGAAACTTTATATGGAAAAAAATTGAAATTCTGCATAATCAAAAGTGGATCAAAACTCTAAATAGATTATCTTAACGTGTAGGAGATCGTTGTTAGAATTTGAAAACAATTGAAACTTCATTTTAAAACATAGACTTAATCAATTGATTTATATTTAAATGGAAAGAAAGTAGTGGTTAGTTTTACCTATCGTTTGTTTAGTGTCGCTCAATTTCCAATTTGTATTAAAAGCCTGAATTTTTACTTTCCTTCCATTCCCCTGTGCATAATAGTCCAGTAGCTCTTGTTTACCTACAACAAATTGAAAACCATTTGGGGAAAATAACTAAGCCTTTTGTTATTAGATTCTTGGTAGGCAAAGCAAGAAATTTACACACAACAAAACTATTAAAACTTTAAAACCCAATTCCCAAATTAGGTTCTCGATTGGCTAATGATCATATTGGATGTAAATTATCATACCGAACACTGCAATGCTTGATTTTATTTATTTATTTATTTTTTTTTTTGGAACATTCTAGTTAATCATTATTTAACTGAAGAATACAATTCGTAGAACAATAATTAGTAGATAAAACTAAAGGGAACAAAATACCAAAATTTGCAGTTAACAACATAGAGCTAAGTGAAAAATACAAAAAATAAGGACAGGAAGGCAATCAAAATGTGACTCTTATCTGGGTTTGGTTATGCTTCTATCAACCGCTGTCCTTAACTAACGAAATAAGCAATCTCTTAACGTAGCACATTTAGTCATCAATCCCTTACACACACACACACAAAAAGATATTATGTATTACATTCTAATTTTTCTTTACTTACATTTTCATTCTATTTCTTCAAGTGTGTAAATTTACACTAATTCTCCATAATTTTCAGTCAATTCCATTGTAATTAAAATAAATATTGAGTATATACGCACTTATAAACACACAAAATTCAATTTTCCATACGAAAGCACATACGTCAAATCAATGTTCCTACTGTATTCATTTAATCAAATGACGCATCAAATATAATAATTAAATTATACCTCTAATTTATAACCTTTTTATTTCGCTTCATCTGCAGCTAAACCCAAAATTTAGACAGTCCCCAATATAATTCTATCAAATACCAGATAGCAACACCATGTAAAAGTTATATTGGGTGTCCACACCCACACTTATACTTTACAAATAAATTTGAACTTTGAATCACTTGGGCTCCAAAAATATTTGCACATAAATTTGAAAGAAGACGAATAAATTAAACAAAAATCATATCTACTGGCAATTCAGACTGACCTAGAGTTGCTATCGAGCTCTGCCGAAGACAACTCTGCACTGTTGACAAAGTCTAGAACAACCTGAAAATTTAAAGAGATCAAATTTAAAGCCAAATAAGCAATCATTTACTGAAAATCTTCACAAAAAAGTGCTAGTTTCACAAATAAATGAAACCCAGATTAAATTTCTTGATAAAAACTAAGAACTTCAAAGCTTAAGAAAACCCATGAATCCAACCGTAAAAAATAAGCAAACTTTCACACTGGCAAACCATTCATAAACCAAAAATGATATCTTAAACAAAACACATGAATCCAACTCAAAAAAGCTCAAATTTAAAACAACCAACACAAATAAAATATCAAACATGGTTCATTGTCTCTCTTCGCATTTTAAATCACATAGTGTTGCCCAATATATTATCGTATTAACATTTCATATACTCATGCATTAGATAAAAATTATATCTATGTTAAAATTACATGGACTGCTTTATCATGGTTTAAGAAAGCAACCACAAATCTTAGTATCTACATGTTCCTCAAATTATCTAAAATACTAAAACAAAACCCTCACTTCTCACTACATGTTTAAGATACATGAACCCATACAAACCTCTTCACCATTCACCAATACCATTGGTGCTCAAAAACCAAAAGAAAAAAAAAATCATTAAATAAGATGGCTACTAACCAAAGCATCCTTTGAACAAATTAAGAAATTCAAATAAAATTAAACACTCAGAAAAAAAAAAAGAAACACAAAAAAGATATGCTTGAATTGTCAAGGAAATGAAGATACTAATAAATACAAAGATAAGTTTGAATTGTTAATCAAATAAATAAATAAGACAAAGCATTTCCAAACGTTGATTATGTCTGATGAGTTAATGCTATGTGATTGCCCTGGATTCGTCTTTCCATCCTTTTCAAGCCATGAGATGATTGCTTCTGGTGTATTACCAAGAATATGGAGACTGCGATGATAGTGGCCAATTGAGTTCCAAGACATGTTATTGAAGTGGTTTGCAGCATTGATCTGCCCAAACCCAAATCCTATGAAATCGATAACGAAGAAACAGAGAATAAAAGGAAAAATGTCTTATAGCATACTATGTCCTGCTTCATACATATTTAACCCTTCAATTAAACACATTTCCTTTTCATCAAAATTAGCATGAATATAATAGTGCTTCCAGCAGAAAATAAAAGGAAAAAATGACAACCGAAAAAAATTGATAACCCAAGACATATAAGTTTAGAACAGGCCAAACAATGACAACCCAACAAAACCAAAGATTTAATTAAATGAAGCATAATTCAGTAAATCTCATAATTTATTTATTTCATTTTTTGACCAATCAAACATGCCATCACCGGAGAAAGAACCAGCACCAAAAAAAAAAAAAGTTAAATACCTTGATCGCAAACAGCTTGCCAGGTTGTAGACAGAAAGGCCAAAATTCAAACAACTTCTTTTGCTGAAACCAAATATGAAAGCAGATCAGAAAGGCATACCCAAAGCACGAAAAAAGAATCAAACAACATACAATCAGCAAAGCAGAAAACTCACCAAAAAACCTTAGATCGCATTGATAACTTTTCCTGAAACCAAAAATCAAACCGCATCGCAAAGCCACACACACCCAAACAACGAAAAAAAAAAATTGAAATTAGACACGGCAAGAAACGCAAAAAACTCACCAGAGATCGTTAGTTTTCCGAGAAGAAAACGGCCGTGAATAATCGGCGAGACACAGACGCGAAGGACGGATAGCGAGAACAACGAAGGCGTGGGAGAGAGAAAATACCTAGGCTCCAAAATAAGGAAAATATGAAAATGGTGAGAGAGAGAGAGAGAGAGAGAGAGAGAGAGAGAGGGGAACCCAAAGAAAAGGCAGAGTAGAACTGAAGCGGAAGAACCACTGATGACAGACGCGTGGTTTCCAAGGGTAAAATCGTCATTGTACTGTAGAAAAAGCTAAAAGATACCGCTGATGGGAAAAATTTTGGAGGGCATTTTCGTCACTCCACTGTCCGTGAACAGTACACTGACGTTTGGGTTTTAGTATAGAATAATTTGTTGTGCTATAGACGAACACGAAGTGAATGTGCATGAGAGAAATAAGGAATGATTTCTTTTTTTTAAATGATTAATAGAAGCAGCGTGAGGAACGTGAACTTTGTACATGTTCTGCGGACCTTGGATATAGTAATAAATTGGAAGATTAATGTTTCCTCTTTCTGCTTAAGTTGCTTTGGCACCATCAGTCTTATATATATATATATATATATATATATAGAGAGAGAGAGAGAGAGAGAGAGAGAGAGAGAGAGAGATATTCATCAATTTCCCTCCTGAACTTGTGACCATTGACCAATTTCCCCCCTCAACTCTCATAATTAGTCAATTTCCCCCCTCAACTTTAATTTGGCCAATTTCCCTCCTCAACTCTCAAAATTAGTCAATTTGCACCCTACTGTTAATTTTTGTTTTTTTTTTTAATTTTCCATCTATTCTTTTCTTAATTTTCAATCTTTCTAATAACTTCCAACAAAGTACTAAAATTAACATAAACTCACCTGCATAATATAGGGTAAAATGTACGAAAACATAATACAGTTAGTATGTGATATGGGTTGATTATAAGAAAAGGTTATGAATCGGGTTTAAAGCATGTAGAAGAAGAAATAATAAGCCTAAGCTCATGGATCAGACCTATTTCAATAAAATGGGTTATTCTTAATAAGGAGTCGAAAATTATGAATAGACTAGCCATTTTTTCACTAAAGCTCGATTCTCTGCAATTTACTTGAACTTAGCTTTCACTTTTATAAAGAAAATTGTATTCACATACAAAAATTTACACATCAATCCTTTTCGTTATCAATTTTGTATAGTCAAAAATCAAATAAAATTACTCCATACTGATTTATTATGACTAATAATACTATCTATGATAAATTGTAAAGTTCTAAATTTTAATTTATTTGTAATAGGATAAACATATAGGAACATGATTAACATACATCTTATTTAGTTTTTACACACACTTGTTTAATTATGATCAAATTAAAAAATTAACAGTAGGGTGCAAATTGACTAATTATAAGAGTTGAGGGGGAAAATTGGCTAAATTAAAGTTGAGGGGGAAAATTGGCTAATAGTCACAAGTTCAGGGGGGGAATTGATGAATACCTATATATATATATATATATATATATATGTATATGTATATGTATGTATATATATATATGTATGTATGTATGTATGTACATTCATTCCATCATAGTAATAAATTGGAAGATTAATGTTTCCTCTTTCTGTTTTAGTTACTTCTAGCATCGTCAGTCTTATATTTGTACATTCATTCCATCATAGTTAGTCATCGTTCCCACTATACTTTGCGACTAGAGTTTCTTATAGGTTGGTGCTCTTACTGTAGTATAATATATAAATATATCATGTATATTAATATATAGATGGATTATAGTATAATGCATGTTTATCTTGGTAATAGTGATATTGGAGTGATATTTCATGTCTCCTCTTCTTATATGTGAGAAAAGACTTTCCTTGAAGATTTCTACATTATGCAAAGAGAGCATCTTAAGCTGCTTGATTATGGAATATATATTGTGACTTTAACACCCCTTCTTGGCTCGTGTTCTCAAGGAAAAATACTACCCGGATAGACCATTTATGGAGGTAAAACAAGAGAGGCGATCTTCGTGGGGTTGGAAAAGTATACTTCAGGGACATCGTATTTTGGAGCGGGGGCTAAAATGGAGGGTTGGAGATGGGCAGAGTATCAGGATTGTACATGATCCTTGGATTCCAAAGTTATGCGCATTCCATATACGGTCTAGGCATGCGGAGATGCCAGTGATGGTAGGGGAGTTATTTGAGCATTCTATGGGATCGTGGAAAAAGGAGTTGGTACTTAACTATTTTGAAGAGGAGGAAGCAAAACTTATATTGGGGTTGCCAATTAGTTTAGGTGGTTGTCATGATAAACTAATTTGGCATTATTCTAGGAATGGAAAGTACACAGTCATAAGTGGCTATGGAGTGGCTATGGATCTTCAAGCAAATAGGGAATGGGATAGGAAGGGTACAGGAATGGGAAGTAAGAGTATGATGTCTGACCGTGTTTGGCAAGATGTATGGAGGCTAAGAGTGCCAAATAAACTGAAGTTTTTTTATATGGAGGTGTTGCAACAATACTTTGGCGGTACGAAGGAATCTAGCCCGAAGGAGGATGCGAGTGGAGACGACATCCGTTTTGTGTGGTTCGTTTGAGGAAACAAAGGAGCATCTGCTCTTTGGGTGTGAATTTAGCCGGGTCTTTTGGTATTGTTGCCCTTTACAGATGGACGTGAATGTCGTCAAAGGGGTGGATTTTCTGGAAGGTTGGAAGAAGATTGAAGCACGGTTTAAGGATGAAGCGGTAAAAGACGAGCTACTACATGAAGTTGTTTTTGGCCTTTGGAGAATATGGAAATGTCAGAAGGCATTGGCTTTTGAAGGTACGTATAAAACTTCCAAGGGATGTGATCGTTTTATCACGAAGCCATATTCAAGAGTTTAGAGATGCCCAGCCGAAAAAGACAAGGGAAAAGGAGCACTGCGGGAAACCTTCAACGTCGGTTTTCGCTGGGCAACAAGTTCGATGGAAACGTCCTAGTTTTGGGACTTTGAAAATTAACTGTGATGGGGTATGGCGTGGGAAATCAATGTCAGGTGGCTATGGGTCGGTGGTGCGAGATTTTGCGGGACTTTTGCACATGGCTAGTGGGGTGGGAGGCGAGTTTTTCAATGATGCAGCTATGGTGGAAGTGGCTGCAATTCGTGCAGCTTTGGTGACGTGTGGGGACATGCATTATGAGATGGTAGAGATAGAGTCTGATGCTCTATCTCTTATCAACATGATAAATGGGGAATGTTCAATTGATGTAAATTAGCGAGGTGAAATTTATGTATGTTCAGCGGAGTGGCAACCTCGCTACCCATGCAATGGTTTCTTATGTTACCTCGCGTGGTGGTTCGTTTTTGTGGGATACTTATGATCCTGAATTTCTTTTTAATATTTTTGCAGAAGATGTAAACATTTCTATTAGAATTTAATAAAATTTATCCTGTGACAAAAAAAAAAAACCGCTTCTTTAGTTATCTTTTTTATGTGTTTTTTTTTTTCTTTTAAAAGGAGGACAACTGGTGGCAAACCACAGTTATCCATCCCTTTCGGGGCTCGGGAAGACTTACAGAGGCATTTCAGCCTCCTCCTGACCACAAGTTTGGCTTCCACACCAGCAGTGAGTTTTGAACCCGAGACCTCTAGTTTTTAGTTTTAAAGAAGCCTTGTAATCCGTCATTTACTACTGAGCCACTAGTTTGTGGTTCTTTTTTGTGTTTTTAATATGCTAAGTTAAGATGCATGTCCATACATATATGGTAAAGAACAAAAACCAAAATTTAGAAAATTTTATCCAAATGTTATGCTTTGGCTACTGAAACTCATAAGTAAATTACAAAACAACCGTTAAAATCACACAAAGAAACAATTTTTTGCTCGACGTTTGACAGGTTGTATTTTGCTAACATGTGAATATTTATGTCAAGCATTCATATATGATAGTACTTCACGAATAGTTATAGTTCATAATCTCTCGACATAACGTAACATGTTAAACGACAGGTATTAATCAATATATCTAGACCTCAATTATAATCTTAATCTACATAGCTGGTTGTATACCATATTGCCCTTCCCCTTTCTTCAAACGACGAAAAAGTGGCAAAGTTGGAGGTGCCCGTGGCCTTTTCATTTTTTTCATTTTGTTGGTCTGATGCTTAAGTTTGCGGCTTCCCAGGGCATCGCACATGTATATGCGGGTGAAACACAATGCCAAGGATAATCGCATCACAGATGGGACATAAAGGTTCGGTTTGGGTTATTACAGTGGATGTTTTTCCATTCCCTTTATATCGTAATTTAAAAACTAATGTTTCCCTGGTCAACTTATTCGAACAAAATTTAAATTATGCTCCACTACGGTTTTGATATGCATTATGACCAAAATGTTCTAAAAATTCCCACCTAGTGTTGTTTAGGCCCTTCCTAGACGCTAGGTGGCTGGTTCTCGTCCTAATTAATGTCTAGGAGTTTGAAAATTAAAAAAGGTCGCCTAGACCTAGTGAAGCGTCTGCCTAGACCGCCAAGACACTCGCCTAATCCTTCCAGACCCTCCTAGGTTGCGATTCACTTAGACAAAAAATATATAACTTTCATTTTGCATTTTATTTTTTACAATAAATTGTAAGAGACTTTTTGCACACTTGAATAAAAACACATTATTTCATTGTTCCCTATGTTTTCATTATGTTCCAATTATATATATGTCATTCTATTTTGTAATTTATGATGAAATTATATATATTTTAAGTATAAGCAGATACTTTTACACGAAATATAACAGATTTACTTATATCCGCCTAGTCGGCTTAGCTCCCTAGGCGCTAGGCGCTAGACCCCAGCCTGCCACATGACTAGAGCCTAGCGTTTTGTAGAATCTTGATTATGACGATGTGATTTTATAGAAAACACAGAGACCTTATGCAGACCTTTTTTCACGTTGTGCCAGAATTGTTATTACATATTGCAGCAGCTCGTCATTTTTATTAGTTTTTTGCACTCATATATATACCTACAGCAGTTTGTCAGTTTTTCATATTCATATATATATACCTACACCAGTTTGTCATTTGAACACTGTACTCTCAACTGAGAAGTGATAAGTGTAGTGTACAGTTGAGAATTTACCATCTCTAAAATTTTTGCAGCGGTTGATAGTGTAATCTCAGTTGTTGACATTAACCCTCTAACTGAACACTATATTTATTACTCTCAAATTTCTCAGTTGTATAGTTGAACACTATACTTGACTGAATTATGACATACTGCTGATTAGTTCATATTTTGTTCTCCATTTTGAACTGAAATAGTAACATTGCAGTGAAGATCAATAACAGTCAAATAGTGCTCAGAGTACGAATTTCAATCTGCATAAGGGAATAAACATCATTCTACCAAGGTCACATTATGGTAGTGAGTTATACCATATATTCATGACTGCTGTACATGAGGTACGTCGCTACCTCATTCGTTGTGAATCATAGGAAAGGCAATGTACCTATTTCAGTTCATTTCCGGCAAGATGCATCCTATGACCCTACGAAAATAGAGAACGTTATTGGAAAACTTTAAATTGCAACACCGTCGTCTACAATTTGTTAGGAAATTGTTGAGGAGCATTGTCTCTCCTTTCCAATATTATATTGTGGTGAATTGATTCATACCAGATTAATACAATTACAACTAGGAATAGTTTTAATGCATGCTGATGCATTTAGAATCTTTATTGGGGTTTCGTTTTATACAGCATTTCATGTACTTATACGATAAATGATTTTCTGGTTTTTTCAAGGAAAGATTGTCTAAAAAAAACAAATAAGGTTTCGAGTGGACTTATTGAAGTGCCACAACAAATTCCGCAAACTAAAGAAATAGGTGATGATATGGTTTTGAGAAATAAGAAACTAAAAACTTCAAATGAAAGAAGCGAAAATGGACAGCAAGAAAGCCATGAGGCCTTGAAGCAACAAAAGCTTGAGGCTACCCCGTCCAGTTTTTCTTGGACATTGTTGTGTTAGTTGAAATGCAAATTTAACAAGTGATCAATCCTTTTTACATTAAATTTCCACTTCGGATTTATTCAAGTTTGTGATTTTACTTGCTACTTGATTATAAGAATTTAAACTATAGGAAATGAATGATTTACTCAATTTTTAGGCTTTGTATTCTTTATTTGCTATGATTCGCTAAGAGAAATGCAGAATCATATGATCCAATCAACAAGCACTAGCTGTCTTGACAATTGATCCATGATATTTGAGGAGTCAGGACCAAAGAGACCCAACGTGCAGTGCAAAAGGAGCAGTGGGAGCACCGGAGCAGGAGTAGTACAATAATTTACCTGTCTTTTTTTTGTACTAGGATTCTCTTCCCTTATCTTTTCATCCCCTTCCATCATCTTCTCTCACATTTTCTTATTTTGTTTTTTTCTTGTTATAAAAAATTAATATAAGATGTTAACGTGGCTTAATCGTTACTGTTCAAATAGGAAGGAAGAAAAGGAAAGAAAAAAAAAAAAGAGGAAATAATTCTACTCCCCTTTTTTTTTTTTTGATTGATTTGTGAGTCGTAAAATAATTTACCTATCTATCTGCACACAAATTACATTTTACATATTTCATGAGAGAGAGAGAGAGAGAGAGAGGGTTGAGAGAAGAGATTGTACCATTGTTAAAAAAGCTGAAGCAAATCCATCAAACTGACATCAACAAACTTCAAAAATTTTCAGAGAGAGATTTGAGAGAGTTTTGAGAGAAAAAAGATGTAGTGCCTCTAGATTCTCTTTGTGAGAAGTTCGAAAATTCTTTAATTATGTCTGTTCATCGTACATCGTACGATCAATTTTTGTTAGATACTATTTGAGTAAAATTTTAAATAAAATAATTTTTTACCACACAATATACTATAAACAGATACGATTAAAGAATTCTAGGATCCTCACAAAAAAAATCCAAAGAGAATCCTCACAAAAAAGCTCATTCACAAGTAAAAGCCAAGCAAATCCATTCAAACTCGCATCAACAAACCCCAAAAATTTTCACAAAGATTTGAGAGACAAAAGATGGTGTGCCTGCAAGCATAAATTTGTCAGATATTGTTTAATGTTCAGTTTTAAATAAATAATTTCTGACAGCACGATATACGATGGACGGACACGATTAAAAGATTCAAAGAGAATGTTAGGGATAGGCAAAATACCCATGAGTATGAGTAACCGCGGTTACCTGTCCATTTAAAATTCACGGTTACGGTTATAGGTAATCGTTTAAACAAATAAACGGTTATGAGTATAACTGTTTACCAGTAAATTTTAAATGGATGGTTATGGGTATTACCTGCAGTTATAAATGGATACCTGTTTAACCGTTTATTAGTCCAAATGAATATTTTACCCTTGTCTTCACTCGCTTATATATATTTCGTTATAATTCCAATTCGTAAACAATTTTAGTCTACGTGCTCGTGGAATCGAGTTCTATCCAAATATATTTAGCTTGGTCCCAAAAGATTACATGATTTGACGAAAGTTAGAAGATCAGATGGACAACGAAATCCGATCCTCCATGTTAATGGATATGCTGTTCAGAGTCACTAGCTTCCCATGGAGCCAAATGACTTGGTCAGAGCTTTACTTGAATAAGGGCATGAAACATTGTTATTAAATCTAGACTGCACACTCTACCAATAACATTTGATTTTTTATTAATAAGAGCCAAACCAAAAATGCGCATAAAAGCAAATTATCAACTCAAGTGTAACTCGTTATGTAGCTCATTTCTAATTATGAATTCTCTCGGGATTCCAATCTTCTTATCCCAAGAAATGTCAAATGAGACTCATCTGCTATTAAGTGGGGTGATTGTGGGAACCCAATTTTCCAATTATGCCGCGTTTCCAGCTTGCCTTGCTCTTATTAAGAGCCTTTCATCTGCTATGAAATTGAAAACTATGTGCTTAACAATCCTGTAAGGATCACATTAAACGGTGTTAGAAGAAAATTATTATCGAAATTTTTGGATACTTATCCTTTACATGTCGGCAGCGGGAATACTATGTGCTTAAGCATTCGAACGGGAAAACCATGTGCTTAACCATTCGAAGATGACTGACGAGCGGAATGACGATGGACGATGAAGCTTGGTTGATGGCCAGGCTGTGGGCAGCGGGGACGAAAGCTTCATTGGGAGCGAAAAGCAGCTGGAAGGCAATCTTGGCCTCAGGTGTTAAGTAGGTCTGGCAATTCCTGACACGACTCGATAATCCGACACA